CTGCACCTCCAGCAGCCGCACGTTACTCTGCAGCGTCTCCACACGGGCTGCCAGATCCTCACGCTCAGACGACAGCAGCTCAGCCTAGAGGAGATGGAGGACACACACACTACTGTTCAGAACACACACACACACACACACACACACACCTCCAGTGCAGAAAACACACACTACAGCACAACTGTAGTCAGAGCGTGGGTTTCCTCAGCGCTCGTCTGTGCAGATGCAGAACCTGCTGCAGGGTGAGCTGGAGCCGTCTGCTCAAATCTTCACTGTGCTTCTCCGCCTGCTCCAGCTTCTCCTTCTCCTGGTCCAGCAGCTCGGTCTGCTTGTCATAGTCTACCATCAGGTTCTGGAAGCAGAGGAGAGCAGATGTGCTTCATTATTCTGACCCTGACGTCCACCGTCTGCATCATCTGGAGCTGCACTGAGGGTAAACGGCAGACCTTGTAGTCCTCGGCCCCGTGGATGATGTCCTTCACAGAGCGAGACAACCGGTCCCGCTCCGCCCTCAGCTGATCCGCCTCCTCCCTCAGGCCCAGCACCTGCAACACACACACACACACACACACACACACACACACACACACACACACACACTCTCATAAGACAACACACACACCCTCTATAGGCAACACACACCCACGATAGGCAACACACACCATCTATAGGCAACACACACCATCTATAGGCAACGCACACCCTCTACAAACACACACCATCTATAGGCAACACACACCATCTATAGGCAACACACACCATCTATAGGCAACACACACCATCTATAGGCAACACACACCATCTATAGGCAACACACACCTGAGGGTAAACGGCAGACCTTGTAGTCCTCGGCCCCGTGGATGATGTCCTTCACAGAGCGAGACAACCGGTCCCGCTCCGCCCTCAGCTGATCCGCCTCCTCCCTCAGGCCCAGCACCTGCAACACACACACACACACACACACACACACACACACACACACACACACACACACACACACTCTCATAAGACAACACACACACCCTCTATAGGCAACACACACCCACGATAGGCAACACACACCATCTATAGGCAACACACACCATCTATAGGCAACGCACACCCTTACAAACACACACCACCTATAGGCAACACACACCATCTATAGGCAACACACACCATCTATAGGCAACACACACCATCTATAGGCAACACACACCATCTATAGGCAACACACACCATCTATAGGCAACGCACACCCTCTATAGGCAACACACACCCTCTACAAACACACACCATCTATAGGCAACACACACCATCTATAGGCAACACACACCATCTATAGGCAACACACACCCTCTATAGGCAACACACACCATCTATAGGCAACACACACCATCTATAGGCAACGCACACCCTCTATAGGCAACACACACCCTCTACAAACACACACCCTCTATAGCCAACACACACCCTCTATAGCCAACACACACCCTCTGCAACACACACACACACACACACACACACACACACACACACACACACACACTCTCATAAGACAACACACACACCCTCTATAGGCAACACACACCCACGATAGGCAACACACACCATCTATAGGCAACGCACACCCTCTACAAACACACACCATCTATAGGCAACACACACCATCTATAGGCACACACCATCTATAGGCAACACACACCATCTATAGGCAACACACACCATCTATAGGCAACACACACCATCTATAGGCAACGCACACCCTCTATAGGCAACACACACCCTCTACAAACACACACCATCTATAGGCAACACACACCATCTATAGGCAACACACACCATCTATAGGCAACACACACCCTCTATAGGCAACACACACCATCTATAGGCAACACACACCATCTATAGGCAACGCACACCCTCTATAGGCAACACACACCCTCTACAAACACACACCCTCTATAGCCAACACACACCCTCTATAGCCAACACACACCCTCTATAGACAACACACACCCTCTACAAACACACACCCTCTACAACACACACCCTCTATAGACAACGCACACCCTCTACAAACACACACCCTCTACAAACACACACCCTCTACAAACACACACCCTCTGTAGGCAACACACACCCTCTATAGGCAACACACACCCTCTGTAGGCAACACACACCCTCTATAGGCAACACACACCCACGATAGGCAACACACACCATCTATAGGCAACACACACCATCTATAGGCAACGCACACCCATCTATAGGCAACACACACCATCTATAGGCAACACACACCATCTATAGGCAACACACACCATCTATAGGCAACGCACACCCTCTATAGGCAACACACACCCTCTACAAACACACACCATCTATAGGCAACACACACCATCTATAGGCAACACACACCCTCTATAGCCAACACACACCCTCTATAGGCAACACACACCATCTATAGGCAACACACACCATCTATAGGCAACGCACACCCTCTATAGGCAACACACACCCTCTACAAACACACACCCTCTATAGCCAACACACACCCTCTATAGCCAACACACACCCTCTATAGACAACACACACCCTCTACAAACACACACCCTCTACAACACACACCCTCTATAGACAACGCACACCCTCTACAAACACACACCCTCTACAAACACACACCCTCTACAAACACACACCCTCTGTAGGCAACACACACCCTCTATAGGCAACACACACCCTCTGTAGGCAACACACACCCTCTATAGGCAACACACACCCACGATAGGCAACACACACCATCTATAGGCAACACACACCATCTATAGGCAACGCACACCCTCTATAGGCAACACACACCCTCTACAAACACACACCCTCTATAGCCAACACACACCCTCTATAGCCAACACACACCCTCTATAGACAACACACACCCTCTACAAACACACACCCTCTATAGCCAACACACACCCTCTATAGACAACACACACCCTCTACAAACACACACCCTCTATAGACAACGCACACCCTCTACAAACACACACCCTCTACAAACACACACCCTCTACAAACACACACCCTCTACAAACACACACCCTCTGTAGCAACACACACCCTCTAGGCAACACACACCATCTATAGGCAACACACACCATCTATAGGCAACGCACACCCTCTACAAACACACACTATCTATAGGCAACACACACCATCTATAGGCAACACACACCATCTATAGGCAACACACACCATCTATAGGCAACACACACCATCTATAGGCAACACACACCATCTATAGGCAACGCACACCCTCTATAGGCAACACACACCCTCTACAAACACACACCATCTATAGGCAACACACACCATCTATAGGCAACACACACCATCTATAGGCAACACACACCCTCTATAGGCAACACACACCATCTATAGGCAACACACACCATCTATAGGCAACGCACACCCTCTATAGGCAACACACACCCTCTACAAACACACACCCTCTATAGCCAACACACACCCTCTATAGCCAACACACACCCTCTATAGACAACACACACCCTCTACAAACACACACCCTCTACAACACACACCCTCTATAGACAACGCACACCCTCTACAAACACACACCCTCTACAAACACACACCCTCTACAAACACACACCCTCTGTAGGCAACACACACCCTCTATAGGCAACACACACCCTCTGTAGGCAACACACACCCTCTATAGGCAACACACACCCACGATAGGCAACACACACCATCTATAGGCAACACACACCATCTATAGGCAACGCACACCCTCTATAGGCAACACACACCCTCTACAAACACACACCCTCTATAGCCAACACACACCCTCTATAGCCAACACACACCCTCTATAGACAACACACACCCTCTACAAACACACACCCTCTATAGCCAACACACACCCTCTATAGACAACACACACCCTCTACAAACACACACCCTCTATAGACAACGCACACCCTCTACAAACACACACCCTCTACAAACACACACCCTCTACAAACACACACCCTCTACAAACACACACCCTCTGTAGGCAACACACACCCTCTATAGGCAACACACACCCTCTGTAGGCAACACACACCCTCTATAGGCAACACACACCCTCTATAGGCAACACACACCCTCTATAGGCAACACACACCCTCTATAGGCAACAGAAACTCTAGGCAGACAGCAAACTGTGAGTCTCAAGGAGCCACAGCCCATATCAAACCTCCTTCTTGCTGTTGTCCAGCTCCTTCTTAGCCTTGACGGCGACAGCTTTGATTTTGTTCATGCGCTCATCTTTGTCTTTGCTTTCTTTCTTCAGTTTTTCTGCGTAATAAAGAGCAGTTTAAACACAAACACTTCAGAGATGCAGGCTAATGAAAACAGGAAGAGAAACCTGCATGAACATACCCAGTTCTTCAGATAATGCGGTGAGTCTTTCACTTTGGTCAGACACAGGAGACTCCTGGCTCTGCTGGAAACAGAAGAGAGAGAAACACAGGAGATCATCACGGTTAACATTAGAGTGATTCTTCTACAATAAACTCTGAGTGTATTTGTAGAACAGGGCTCAGTCCTGCTCCTCGAGGTCTGCAGTCAGACAGACAGAGCACCTGGAGATGTCAGTGAGACGTGCTCCATTGTTTTCGCCTCTTCTGTAAGTATTGTTTCAGGCACTGGTTAAGCACAGACACCATTTTCAAAGTATTGATTTGGTATTGGTATCGTAATAAACCACTAGTTATGCGGCATGGAAATGCAGTGGTTGACTCTTTTCTTGTTTTCTAAGCCAATGGGAACAACATTTACAGGTTTGCCCCTCCACAGAAGTTTCTCCAAGCTAATCTTCCAGAATGTTTAGACAGTATTTTAGTTTGCATAACAAATGCACAGTACCTGTAGGTGTCCGACCTCTTCTCTGAGCTGAGATATTAGAGTGTCTCTGTCAGCGAGAGCCTGCTGGAGCTCGTCTGCCTGGGGAACCGTTGAGTCGGGTTCATCAGACACCTCCGCTCGCTCCTCCTCCAACTGACTGCTCAGCTCAGAGACCTCGGCCAGCAGACGGAGGTTTTCTGCACTCAGCTTCTCGTTCATGGTTTGCACTTGGCTCAGGTCCTTCTGCAGTCCCTCTGTGTCCATCACCACATCAGCCAGACTGGCCTTCAGCATGTCCCTCTCCTGCTGGAGCTCATGTGTGCGTGTCTGTAGCTCCACCTCATGCTCCTCCACCGCCAGCCTCAAGCTGTCCAGCTCCACCTTCAGCTGCTCCGCCCTCAGCTGCTCCACCTTTAGCTGTTCCACATTCAGCTGCTCCACTTTCAGCTGCTCCGCCCCCAGCTGCTCCGCCTTTAGCTGCTCTGCATTCAGCTGTTCCACTTTCAGCTGCTCCGCCTTTAGCTGCTCCGCCCTCAGCTGCTCCACCTTTAGCTGCTCCGCCCTCAGCTGCTCTACCTTCAGCTGCTCCGCCCTCAGCTGCTCCGCCTGCTCCTGTACCTGCTGTCTCAGCAGTGCCTGCTCCTCCACACACCAACTCCAGAGCCGCTCCACCAGTGTGGATATGTCAGATGCATTGGTCTCGGCCTGGCCTGAGCTCTGCTGCAGGATCTCAGTGATGCGGCACTGAACAGCAGAGAGGCGCTCCTGAAGGCTGCTCTTCTCTTCTGAGAGACTCTGGATCTGAGAATTCAGCAGCCTGATGGCATCTCCACTCTCCTGTTGCAGGGCCTGAAGAGTGGAGATCTCCTCCTGGAGGTGGTGTACACGCTCATCCTCCATCAAACCCTCCTGCTTATGGAACGGCCCTCGCTCTGCTCCACAGCCCATCAGCTCCAGCATCTCCATCACCAGAGTCTCCTCACGCTGCAGATTCACAAGGATTCCTTCATTTCTGCTCCACAGGTCCTCCAAGGACAGGTTGAGTCCTCCATCATCTGTGCTAGGCCCTGAAGGATTGTGCTGCTCCTGAAGGACATTCTTCAGCCGCTCCTGCAGATCCAGCAGTGATGCTGCCGTTTCCTCCTTCATGGATCTGTACTGCTGTATAAAGTGCTCTGCTCTGTCTCTCAGCTCCATGTCCTGATTCAGGATGATGTTCTTGACTGTCAGGCTCTCCACAGGTGAGGCTTGGTCCTGCAACTTGTCAGTGTGGAGACTGTCTTCTTGCTCAATAAGAAGCCCATCTTCTAGCCTATCTACGTGCTCAACAACTTGCTCGACTTGGTGTCCATCTTCAAGCCTTTCTTCTTGCCAGAATCCTGGTCTGTTCTCAAGCCCTCCTTCTTCCCCTCCTTCTTCCAGCACTAACTCTAGCTCGACTTCTTTCCTGTTTTCAAGTATATCTTCTGGCCTGTTGTCAAGCCTGTCTTCTTGCACAACCTTTTCATTTTCCTGCTTGTCTTCTTGCCCATCTCCCTCAGCACTAAGGCAGGCTTCAGCTTGCTGCAGAACTTTGTTTCGAGACTCTTCTTCAGAGGTGCTGCACATCTCTCTGCCCGTGTCCTTGTTCATCTGCAGCTCGTTGATCCTGAACTCCAGCTCCTCCTTCTCCACAGAGAACTCCTCCCGCATCTGCTTCAGCTCAGACTCCAGCTCTAGCTTCACGTTCTGAAGCAGCACCAGCTCCTCCTGCAGCATCATGTTGTGTGTCTGCAGGTGCTCCTCCAGGGCGGGTCTGAGCTGGTCTTCAACTGGGAGATCTGCAGTCTGCCGTGGAGGTCTGCTGTCCTCCTCCTCCTCCTGGACATCCTGCAGGAATCCCTCCTTCAGCTCCAGCTGCTCCGACAACTCATCCTGCAGGAGCAGCAGGCGCTCCCGCTCCCTCTGGAAGTCTGCATTGTTGAGCTCCATCTGCTCCTCCAGAAAGCGCAGATCCTCCTCATACTGGCTGGTCATCCTCTGGATCTCCGCCTGAAGGTTCTCCACCTCCTGCTGTGCCTCGGTCAGGCTCTTCTGCTGGGTGTCTGCTGTCACCATGGCCTGCCGCTGGGCGTCCTCCAGCTCTGCTTGAGTCTGGGATATCCTGCACTCGTATTCGCTACAGGTGGTCTTAAAGCTAGCCGTGAGCTCTGCCATGTGCTCCTGCATCTCTGCATGCTCTTTATTCTTTAAGTCCAGCTCCTCCTGAAGTGCTGCTAATCTTCCCGCTGTGTCCTGCAATGCACGTACACTCAGTCAGATACTCAGAGGGTTTGCTCTTGTGTTATAGTGTTCAGAGGCTCACCTGTGCCTGCTGTTGGAGCTCCTGGTGCTCTCTGCGCAGTAACCCCAGGCTCTGCTGACTCTCGGCTTTCTCCAGCAGTAAAGCGTCCATCCGCTCCGTCAGCTCCTGTGCACATGAGGAGAAACACTCTTTTGTTGTCGGCTGCATTTCTGAATCTGATTTCAGTCATACATCTTACTCGCTCACACCCCTAAACCCCCCACACATTAAGATGCAAAGGTGCTGCAGTCTGCTTAAGAAGAGCTCCAGATGATCAGCTGATGGACATACACTGACCTGAATGATGGAGGAGTCTGCGGGACCACTGACCGACCCACGCTTCTGCACCTCCAGCTGCTGCTCCAGATCTGCACACACACATACAGAGAGAGAGAGAGTCAGGCTTTCACACAAATTCACACGTACGTGTGTGTGTGTGTGTGTGTGTGTGTGTGTGTGTGTGTGTGTGTTTACCTGCACACTTGCTCTTCATCTTCTGCATGGCCACCATCTGCTTCTTCGCAAACTTTATCAGATCTTCTTTAGACAGAGTGTCCAGCTGAGACAGAGAACATCCCATAATAAGCACACACACACACACACACACACACACACACACACACACACATACACACACAAACACACATACACACACAAACACACATACACACACACACACAGACACACAGACACACACACACACACACCATTCCGAGCTGAACACACTAACACTAGCAGGGAACTCTTACCTTGGACTTGCCGGAGCTCTGCCCTGCTGGAGACGCCACGGACTCTGGGTTACAGTCCTGCACACACACACACACACACACAGCCTACCGTCAAGCACACTACACCAGACACTACATAGGGTACAATACAGAGGGTACACTACACAAGGCACTCCAAGAACACTAATAAGGGTGGACACGTACTACACAGGGAACACTGAGCAAACTACTACACATGGCACCAAACACACTAGAGGGCACACAAACACTACACAGGGCACACTGAGTACACTACAGAGAGCACTACCCAGGACACACTGAGCAAATTACTACTAAGGGCACACTGAGTACACTACAAAAGTCGCACACACACTACACAAGGCAAACTTTTATATAAGGCACACTGAGTACACTACAGAGAGAGCACACTGGACATACATTACATAGGGCACACTAGATACACACTACACAGGGCCACGGGACACTACACAGAGCACTACAAGTGTACACGAAACACACTACAGGGCACATGAAGCACACTGGACACACACTACACAGGGAACACTGGGCACACACTACACGGAATAACAAAGCTCACACACTACACAGGGAACTACAAAGGTCACACACTACACAGGAAACACTGGAAACACACTACACAGGGAACTACAAAGCTCACATACTACACAGGGAACACTGGGCAAATACCACACAGGGAACACTGGGCACATACTACACAGGGAACACTGGGCACATACTACACAGGGAACACTGGGCACATACCACACAGGGAACACTGGGCACATACTACACAGGGCACATTAAACATTACACGATGACCACAGAGCACACACTACACAGGGCATACTAAACAGGCAATACACCTGTCACAAGTAGACTAACTTCAGACACTACTGCAATCTTCACAGTGAACACTAAACAGTCATCTTTAGAGCAGGTCACAGATCTGGCAGCTGAGGGCTGGTGTTTGTCGTGCCCTCAGTAGTGCGCATCTAGTGTCTGCTACAGATATGACCGCCAACAGGACTCGGGTTAATGAGAGGAGCTTCACCGACTGACCTCCATCATGAGCGGGACTCCCTGCTGAAGCTCCTCCTGGGAAAAGGACAATTCCTCCGTCTGTGTTCAGAAGAAACTCAACATCAGGATCATCCGCCAGCCTGTTTAGCACTTCCGCCTTCGCTATTTCCGCATACACGCGACGCTGTGAAGAGACGGCCAATCGGCTTCCTCGACGAGCCGGATGAGCTGACGTCAGTGTTTGTTTGGGGTTGCTGAGGCAGAATGATTGACGGCTCAACTGTCCAATCGCAGGCTGCTCGGCAGAGGATTCGGAGGACTGGATTGGACAGTGAAGAGGCTTAAACAACTATTTTTCTGCATTTAATATGTAAGTAAATGATATGATCATATTAAGGTGATACTCAACATATACATGTGTGCTTATTTTTAATATTAAAACATACAGCATCACGATCAAAGGTGTCCAATATACTAAACTGTTAAAACTCCAGCAGCCTGCTGTGATGATGAAGAGTGCTGTGATGAAGACTGCTGTGATGAAGAGTGGTGTGATGATGAAGAGTGCTGTGATGAAGAGGAGTGCTGTGATGATGAAGAGTGCTGATCACTCCTGAACTCAGTGCTGCACATTACTGTAAGTTGATGGACAGTATTGGGAACTGTTTCTCATTTTCATCTGGGATATTGCAGATATTCTACAGGACTGATCCGCGTTCAGCATCAGCAGTTTAGTTTCAGCAGTGCTGTAATGTTCACTCTGTCGTTTGACTTTCTCTGATCTCCTCTAGTCGTGTCAGCTTGATTTCTGTAGAACAATACAGACGGCCAAAACACATCTCAGAGCTGCTCTATGGGTTAAAACTGATCTTTTTCAGAATGTCGTGGTAAGAAATGATCAGATATTGAGAACAGACACTGACATTAATATTAAAAACTGACCTGAGTTTTGATTCACGTCTCCTGGCAGAATGTGATGTAAACTGCAGGAGGCTGAGAGCTGAGCCTTGTGCTGCCCCACAGGCAGGCCGGCCCTGTACATTTGGGGTCCTAAGCAGAATCATTTTAGGGCCCTGCCTTGCTCTAAATAGTGGAGAACTGCCCACCGGCCCACATGATTACACTGCTGCTAATAATAACCGTCTGAATGACATTTTACAACAGCACTGCTTCTGTCAACCAGCTGCTTCAAACATGAGGAGTTCAACAGCTTTAATAAAGGGAGCAGAGAAACCCACGCCAACACGGGGAGAACATGCAAACTCCACACAGAAACACCAACTGACCCAGCCGAGACTCGAACCAGAGAGTTTCTTACTGTGAGGTCACAGTGCTAACCACTGCACTGCCCCACTCCAGCAGTGATAGACGGATGTATGGTGTGTGTAGTGTGCAGTGTGGAGTGGTCGAGGAGCTGACTGAGGATCAGTGCTGCTGTGGTGGTGTAGATCGTGGTCTTCATCCTTCATCCAGCCGTATCTGGACTTCGCTTCCCCTGCTGATATAATTACCCGCCTTATCATCAGAGCAATCCTAATGAGGGGAAATGAGATCCAGCGCAGGCTTTCTGCTGTGTGTTACCTGCTGAACACTGACACACAGATGACCACCGCCATCACCACACGCACACACAGCACAGCATGCAGGACTACAGCCCTGGACCATCAGAGTGCTGGATGCTGATTGGCTGATGAGCACTCTCAGGTGTTCTTGTCAGGGTAAACCATGGTCACACTACAGTTTGAGCATGTGAAAGTCATCGACTCCTGGAACTCCAGATGTCCAGATACGGCTGAAGGGTTTATTCTGGGAGTCCCACCGGCTGGATGTGCTTTATGCTGATTATTACACAGCTATTGTACACAAAATCAAACTCTCAGACAGTAAATATGAGCTGTAATCATTAATAGCTCTTTATTTAACCGTAGAGCTTGCCCACACTAAGTTACCTATTATTCTTATTGCTGTTATCATCATTATTATTCTCACTCTGTCAGAAGACGACGCCAAACCCTCAAGAGCAGTGGCGGGACAGATAAATCAGTGTATATTCAGTGTCATGGTCAGGAGGACGGATCTAAAATATTATTTTAACTTTTTATTTAAAATCTACAGCATGTTTAGGTGTTAATCCTGGACTTACAGGAGCTGATCGGGAATTAATCAATGAGGGAATTAATCAATGATCAATAACGTCATTAATGCCTGAAGCGAGCTGTTTATGAAGCATCCCATCTGTCCTGAAACACCTGAGAAGAGTTTTATTGTGTGTGTGTGTGTGTGTGTGTGTGTGTGTGTGTGTGTGTGTGTGTGTGTGTGTGTGTGTGTGTGTGTGTGTGTGTGTGATGCATGTGTCATTAGACTCAGGCCCCGTTTACACTAGTGCGTTTCAGTACAGATGAGGTGTGTGTGCGTGTGTGTGTGTGTTTCCTCCTGCTGTGCTTTACTGTCTGTCCTTCTGAAGAGCAATCAAACTCCAGCTGATTTCAGCTCCTCCACTGATTAAACTGGGAACATTTCTCTGGTTTTACACAAGTGTACACACACACACACACACACACACACACACACACACACACACACACAATGAGGTGTACATTCACATATTTGCCACATTTTACAGCATTTCTTTGCCATTATCCATAAGAAGCACCAAAGAAGCGGCCCACCCAGACTGCTGATGCCCAGAGTGAAGCATGGCGGGGTCAAGCATGGCATTCACTCGGCCCAACACTGGTGCTAGATGGTCGCTGGGTCACTGCCAAGAACTACACAACCATTCTGGAGGAGCATGTGACCCAATCCTGAAGTCGTCAGATGATGATGCAGCAACACACACAGCAGGACTGGAGACAGAGCGCTCTGATGAACATGACAGTGGAGTTGAACATCTCCCGTGGCCTGCATAGTACCCAGAGCTAAATACTATTGAGCACTTTGGGCTGTTTTGGAGAAGCGAGTCAGGACAGGTTTTCCTCCAGCAGCATCAATAGTGACCAGAACACTACTGACCCTTCACACACACACACACATACACACACTGATGGACTCCAGCAGCAGTATTTCTCGGCGGTGTCAGATAAATGTGTGTGTGTGTGTGTGTGCTCCTGCTGGCTGTGATTCACACACTCTGAGATAAATAATCAGAGACAGCAGAGAGCGGTGGACAGCACATCCATCAGCTGCTAATAGGAGTTGGGTCACCGCTAGCCCCGCGCCGCTGAAGCATTAGCCTGTTAGCGGGATAGATGAGCCGTGTGTCTGCGCTCTGTTCCTGACGCTGTGAAGGAAACACACACACACACACACACACACACTGTCAGACAGAAACAACAGGGCAGATTTACGGCCGCTCCGTCAGCACACACTGCAGATCTGTCCGGCCCGGTTCTCCAGCGCTTCACAGCTTTAATGACAACACTCTGGAGAAGCGCAGCTCATCTCTCTCTGTGTTTCATTTCCACAGTCAGCTGTCACTTACTGTGAAATTCCTTCACCGTAACACACACACACACACACACACACTTGTATACATGATGTAAAGGTACACTCTATAGGTGTGGTGTTTCCCTGTAAACCAGACTACAACACACACACACACACACACACACACACACACACACACTGAACTCACAGCATTCACACATGCCATATGAAGAGAAAGAGAGAGAATCAGTTCTGGGCCCGTCCATCAGAACCCTTCAGAGGAAGCCTGCAGTCCCGCAGGAGAGCAGCACACAGCCCCGTCAGCGCTCCTCCATCCACTGTCTTCACTAAACCAACACATTAATCAGCAGCACAGGGTCCGACAGAATCACACACAGCACTGCGCTTCATCATCTGACGGACAGCAGCCATACAGCACACAATAAAACTCTCATTCTGGATAAACGACGGACAGAAGAGGAGCACGCCACCACAAATCTGACAGAGACTCAAGTCTATTAGTCAGAGAGACTCGATGTGGACTGACAGAAGGCTATTACACACACACACACACACACACACACACACACACACCGTTAAACAGAAGGGATACACCTCACACACACTCAACACTCACAGTTTTGCTCATCTAGCTGAAGGGGAGGAGTTACAGATGAAGGGGAGGGGTTTCTGGTGAAGAGGCGGGGCTATTGGTCGTCTCATCTTTATTTTGGATTGTGAGGGTGAAATGCTTTAAGTGATTGTGCCTCCTCCTGATGGTGACGGCAGGTACTGTTCAGTAGTTTGGTCTTTTATTTCACTAATTTAGCATCATTAAACATCACCTGGGAAACAGTTTGAGTATTTGTTTAGTAAAATAATGTTAGTGTTCCATTTGGGATGATGCTAAACTCGTACACTACATGCTTGAGCATATACACTCACCGGCCACTTTATTAGGTACACCTGTCCAACTGCTCGTTAACACAGATCAGCCAATCAGATGGCAGCAGCTCACTGCATTTAGGCCGGTAGACATGGTCAAGAGGATCTGCTGCAGGTCAAAGCGAGCATCAGAATGGGGAAGAAAGGGGATCTAAGAGACTTTTAACGTGGCATGGTTGTTGCTGCCAGACGGGCTGCTCTGAGTATTTCAGAAACTGCTGATCTACTGGGATTTTCACGCACAACCATCTCTAGGCTTTACAGAGAATGCTCAGACATAGAGGAAATATCCAGTAAGCGGCAGTTCTGTGGACGCAAATGCCTTGTTGATGAAGCCAGAGGTCACAGTTCTGTGAGGTCAGGACGGTGTTGCGCAGCGTCTCGTCTCTCATTTCAATCAGGCGTAGCAGGAGAGAGACTGAAGAGTGTTTAAGTGCTGTTGTTGTGTTTCTCTCCATCAGGACATCAGTGAGGGATCAATAGGGGTCGTGCTGAGCGCTGCAGAGGACGGACGCTTTAATTAAAGACGCAATGAGGACCACCAGCTTACAGTCCACAGCCAGAGTCCTGGCCTCAGTCGATGTGTACAGCTCTGTTTCAAATGAACAGCCACAGCTCCTGTGATGTCCGTCACCTGCCTCTTGTGGTTTAGTTGAGCAGGAGCAGAACAGGTCTCCTCTAAGCAAACACTGGAGCCGTTTGTCTGTGGTTTGAACATGATCTGGACTCATTTTTGGGCTATAATAGCTGCCTCTGGGAATATAACAGGCTTTAGCTCCTCAGGAGGGTCCAGGCTGTGTGTGTCTCAGCTCAGAGGATTCGAGTCTCCTTCCACATTTGAGTCGTCCACATGATCTGGAAGCTGTGACTGGTTTAATATTGTGCTGCAGTTCCTGGAGAAACGGAATATTTAATGAGTAAACAGTGGGCGTGGCTTGTTTTCATCTACTGCGAGCTGATTGGCTGCAGTAAAGTAGGCGTTTCATTCAGAAGACGGGGAAAAGAGTTCAGGGAGAGTCTTTATAACCTCGCAGACTCCTCCTCCTGCTCATCATTTCTGTCTGTTGTCATTGTGACAGCTGCAGGGGCGTGGCTAAGTATGTTAGCCCCGCCCATACCTCAGACAGAGCTAATCTGAGAAATGTTCTGCAGTTCATACCCAGCACATCAGAAGAGCCGTGCACAGTGAGGAGCGAGAGGTGAACGTGTTCGATTTCAGATCACAGACACAACAGAACAAGCCCAAGAACAAGCCCTTTCCCATCAGCAGTATTCTGTCCCATCAGCAGTCATCTGCCCTGTAGCGCTCTGCTCACACAGAAACAGCAGATAGACGTACGCTGAAGCCTGTGTTTCCCTCAGCCTGTGTTTCACCACGGCAGAAGATCAGGACATCAGCGGACGCTCATCATGAGATTAATCAGGGGCGTCTGTGAAGATCTGAAATCATTCACCTACACACACCTCACATCTGGAGTAGAGACATCTCTCACTCACACACACACACACACACACACACACACACACATACACACACACACACACACACACACACACTCACACACACACACAGCTGGCATAAACAACATCATTTATTCTCTAAATCTCACATCTTCATCACATTTAAATACATAAATCAACATTTCCTACATAACTGCTGGACAACATTAAACTCACACAAAAATATATCTCTGACCACCACAGATCAGTCTGCACACACACACACACACACACGTGATCAGACACAGGTGAGACACACACAGTCTGGCAGTGCAGCTCGTCCTCATGGTGTGGGTGTTCGCTGCTGTGTTGCTGCAGTCTCTCAGGACGGGTCTGAGGAGGAATCTCAGCACATGAGCTGCTGTTGTGCTGGTGTAAGCACACACAGAGAGAATGCTGGACTCTGAACACATCAGACGCGGCACACACGGCTCTGTGAGTGTCTGAACTGGTGAACACTGACTAAACCAGTTCACTGTAGCTCATGGGGAAGCAGCAGGAGCTGGTTTAGGTCAAGCTGATTGGCTGACAGATCACAGCCAGATGACCAATCAGCTTGAGTTATGCAGAACAGCAGATTACATCACTGCATATATTCACTATTATGAATAAATAATGTGTCGACACCACCGCTGTGTGATGTATTACTCTTCAGCAGCAGTGAGATGGAGACAATGCTGTTCTCATGGTTATTCAACTAGAGAGACACTAAACACACACAGTATCTCTCCCTCCCTAATGAACTACCATCATTAAAGACCCTTACAGACCCTTACAGCAGCTTTAACCTGTCAGTGCAGGTACAGCAAGTTTAAGAAACCACTAGATCTGCATTAGAGGGTGTGAACATACAGCTGAAGTCAGAATTATTCGCCCCCCTGTTTATGCTATTGCCTAATTTCAATGAAGGCGGAGCTCTAGAACACACCCACTGATTACATAATCAACAATGGTTAATCAAAGGTGCTTTCCAGCAGTTTGATCAATATTACTCCATCTGCCTGATTTACTGCACACTGACTCAGGACAGGAGGGTGAGCGAGGACAGATGCTCAATCCTGGACACTAACTATGACTGAAAACAACAGATGAGTTACGCAACCTTCAGAACTGAGAGTATTATTGCTCTGAAACAATTCATTTCTAAACAGAAAAACAGAACTGAAACACAAGAGCGTGTTTCCTACATCCCATCGACAGGTCACATAATATTAAGCATCCTACATGTGTCCTCTCTTTACTAGTGCACAGTTTCCCTCTTCAGCTGCTGTGGGGATCTCCCAGACTGATGGATCTGGTCTTCAGGATCTTCCTCTTTCCTTTCTCTCCTCTACTCGTGCTCAAGATCTGGACTCACGCTGCCCTCGTCCCTCAAGACGTCTGCATTGATGAATGTTCCCGCCAGAGAGCTCGTGTGTCTGGGTTTCACCGCGGACAGCTCGGACAGAAGGATGGTGTCATGGGCGACCAGCGTCGTCTTGTCCATCGTTTCTTTGCTGTGTTTAGAAACCACTGCATCCAGAAAGTCGTACTTGGGCGAAAGAGTCCCGCTTTCAAACAGGTATTTGGCCAGATATGAGAAGGCAGCGTTGCTCAGGAGTGAAGCCAGCATGGAGACCGTCTTATACGGGAATCTCTGCTCCACGAACCGCTCCACCTCCTGTGTCAGACGGTGCTGTTTCTCCCGCATCTGCCAGCCCGGGTAGTAGATGAACGGGGGAAGCCGGAGGTACGGCTCGCCCCCGCCGATCCTCAGCAGCAGGCCGAAGACGTAACCGGCCACCGAGCCATAGGTGTTCGTGCCCTTGATGAACAGCACACTGAGCAGCTGAGGGAAGATGATGACGTACACCAGGTCTGAGCTCAGGTACCACAGGCCGTACACTGAGCCCGTCAGCAGGGCCATGGCCGTCGCTACAGCCCCGAACACAAAGATGGTGATCCGCATGACCCACACGATCTCTCGGTCTGACGCCTGCACAGAAAACAGAAGAATCCATTAGGCTGGAGGACAAACCTGACTTCCCCAAACTCAACTACTCTCTAGTCAACATACAACACATGAGCTGACTAGTCAACAGGTAAACTCAGGTACTCATTAATCAACAGGTGAACTCATCTACTCACTAGTCGACAGGTGAACTCATCTACTTGCTAGTCTTTTTCGCTGCTTCTTGTGGTTTAAATCAAACTATTCTCACTCTGACTTTCGTGATTTAAAGATGTACGAGGTATACTGTTAACAGTGTTACAGACTTACTGACTGCCGGAAAGCAAGCTGGTAAATATTTCGTGCAAACATGGAGCTGGCTGAGAGGATAGAAGAGTCTGCGGATGACATGACGGCGGCGGAGACGGCGCCCAAACCGAAGAAGGACACAAATGACGGGCAGAGATGCTGCAGGACGATGGGCAGAATCATGTCCGACTCGTCTTTGTCCACAGGAGCAACCGGACCGTACGACGTCTGATTCCAGTCTGAAACAACAACACACATCCAGTTACACACATCTGAGAAACACAGACTCACTGTGATGACCCAGTGCTGTTCAGCTCCTGATCAACTGCTTCAGCTGTGGTTGAGCAACATGACCGCTCTTCATTAGACTATATTTGTTCAGTACAAAGCCAGAGCAGTGTGTGATGCAATCTTCTACAATATAAGTGTGTAACAGTATTGTGTTTGATTCAGTAGTGAAGGCTTGTGCATCAGTGTTGATTGGTCAGAGCTGTGCAGTGAACATCTGCTGATGTGCTGAGACTCTGATTGAGCCGTCTGCAACATTAATTAACCCCCTGTAGACGCTGCATGTTCAGAATCAGCCAGAACTCGTGAAGACGGCAGATATCTGGAGTCATCAGTCTGTCAGCACTCTCTGGGAGATTGAGCTGCGTCTGTTTACCTGTCGAGGCTCCGATAGCTCCGATCAGCACTGAGGGGACGGCCATGACCAGACAGCCGAACGCAGCCAGAAACGACAGCACTTGAGCATAAGTAGCTGAAGAGGCGGAGAGGACACGCTGGAAATACACCTGCCACGGGATCCCACCCAGCATCTGCACACACACACACACACACACACACACACACACACACACACAGACTGAGCACAGAACCTGATATATTATCCTGCATCCAGATTATTCTACAACACTGTATTGGAGTGGTTCTGAGGTAGGGTGAGGGTTTGGGGTGGGTCAGGGTGATATTGCTGCCTCATATACATCACTCCACATCTAAATTATCTCTGGTAGCACGATCTGATGGGTTGCATATATCATCATCAAAATGTCCGACCTGCTTTTTGAATGGGAGGTAGGAAACTCTGACAAGGCAGGACAAATCCACTGTGCTTTTTTGCAATGAAGGGAGTTTTTCATGTGAGACTCACAAGTAGGCAGAAGTTATCAGCCCACATCCAGCCGTCTGATGGATGGATCTCCCCGAGCCACGGATCCTGAAACACCGCCTTCACTGCGGTCACCGCGATGTCTGACACAGCAGGATTGGACAGTGCAAACGGCACGCTTATCCACTGCGAAATCACAATATAATACAACTTTATAGAGACGTAGACTAATGTCCATCTGAACACTAGTTGGCACTGTGCCAAAACACAGCCAGTGACCTGAGACTGTGCTTAACATGGAAAACTCCAAGGTTGACAGCGTTAAGGAGATTTACACTCATCTACTGTACACACATATACATTAAATAGAGTTAACTTGTTTACAAAGGTTCAGTAGCGGAACCATGCCCACTTTGTCTCCTTAACCAATCACCTACTCCCTAAAAACGTATTGAAGGCAGACCAGTTCTCTAGCACTGCTCTTCTCATTCTCTCGAACCCTCCCTCCCTCCCTCCCTCCCTCCTTCTGTTTCCTCACTTCCCATCAACAATCCTATAACCCTCTCTTGCCTTCTAGGTTGAATTGAGGGGTCCAATCCCTCTACCAAAATATTAGAGACGGTACCCCCACTCTGAGTCTCTGGTCATCATCGTATGACGCCTGATCAACCTACCAACATGACCACTGTTTATCCTCTTACTTCCCTTCCCCTTCATCCCACTGTTCCCCTGCCATCCCATTCATCCCTACAATAATGTCTAGCTCAGAGTGTGGCGTGCTCCATGCTGGAGAATCTTATGTCAAAAAGAGTATCAAGATTATTTCTCTTCCCCCATTGGCAGATTATTTTGCTTGTTTTAGGGAAAAACTCACTACAATTTGGCTCATTATTTCCTAAAATAAGACCATTTTGCAAAAAGCTTCATGATTTATGAACTGTTAGATATTTGGACTAGACACAAGTCAAAAACTGTAAGTAAGAGCAGCCTGTTTGCAGTGTATTAGTGTGTTGATGATCAGAGAGGACTCACCAACCCCAGGAATATGCAGAAGAGCTGCACCACATCAGTGTAGGCCACCGAGTACAGGCCGCCGACCAGCGTGTAGAAGACGGCGATCAGAGCCGAGATCATCACCGACATGTTGATGTCCATGTCCACGATCACGCTCAGGGTGGCTCCTGTGCAGAGGACACTGAGAGAATTAATACCTGACCGAGGACTGCAGGAGACGGGCGGAACATGAAGTTATCAAGATCCCACTGAACCATGCAAGATGTCAAAACGAGATGATGTCGGCAAGACGGCTTTCTGAAGAACATTTTCAGCAAATAGAGATGCTGTAAATGTTAAGAACTGTGATGCTGGGTTTAGAGTTCGAGTAGGTGTAGACGCTTATCACCACACAATAATGGGTCATTTAATAAATACCATCAATATATTTTTGCACATGCATGTTAGAACACCCATTATGTATTGGACCGGATGCAGTACGTCATCGGGCTCCACACTTCATTAAGTACCATGCCAGGCTCATTGTGGAAATGTACCCAGGTCTACATTTCTGAAGACAGTGAAATATGTACTCAGAGCTACATTTGTGTTTTGGTAAATCCAGCAGAGGCCGCTGTGTACACTTTTTGATGATCACTCATTTCTCTTGTGCGTGACATTTGTGCATCGTCGTCTTGTGTAAATCCAGCAGAGGGCGCAACAACACACACTTCAGCCGACTGGCTTACTGTTAACTGCCTGACCGACTGAGCCGCCCACCCCATTCCCTAACCCCAACCCATAGTGTTTTCAAGAGCTAGTCTAGCAAAGAAAAGCCGTCACGGCTGCATGATTTCACCACATTTTGTTATTTATTCAGTTGTTTGCTTTTGTTTATCTGCTTTCTGGAACCATTCTTTGCGGGATTTGAACCTCATCATTGCGGTCCGCTCCACATCCCAAGTCCAGTGGCGTATGCTGCAAGCTACTGGGCTAACTGCTAACACCTCCATACAGAGGTAAACAGTCAGCGGTAGCTCGAAAAGGAGCAGAAACTGTCGGCAACATCATACTGCCACATAGCGTTCACTTCACAGACGAAATGCAGCCAGACGTACCTCTGAGTACAGATTTCACTATCTCCAGAAATGTAGACAAGGGTACGTATCCACAATGAGATGTTGTTAAGTACAGCGCCATCTTCCCCACATGCTGACGTGTGGATCTCCATAACTTCATGTTCATCTCCTGCAGTCTGCACACTGACCACATTCTCCCCCCCGCCGGCAGGCTCTTACCCAGGGCAGACAGTATGGCAGCCGACCAGAAGATCTCCCCCAGCAGCGCGGGGATGAACAGCAGGCCGCCCATGCGCTGGCCGTACAGCTGCTGGAACGGGTCGAGCATCGTCACATACCCTCGAGAGCGCATGGGTTTGGCGAAGAACAGCCCGCCTGCAGCACACACACACACACACACACACACACACACACACACACACACACACACACTGGTGAGAGATCAGCCAATCACAGAGGTCTGGAGATTTCTGAAGTGTAACCCCAGCTCACCTACAACAAGACTGAGCGCGTACCCGAAGGGCGCCTGAGCCCACGCCAGCCCGCAGCCGGGCACATACACAGACTCCGCTGTCCCGTTGATATAACCACCGCCAACCCATGTAGCTGAGGGCACAACACAACACATACAACACTGAGTGAGTGAGTGTGTGTGTGTGTGTGTGTGTGTAGGAAATATGAGTTCACAGCACACACACAGAGGTAAAATATCCCACAGTAAGAGAAGATGCTCCACCGCATCAGGTGAGAAGTGAGGGAAGTGGTCAGTGTTTCATGGTTAAACTGTGAGCCATAAATAGAGACGTTTAATCAGTCAGATAATGATTGCGGATCAGAATAAGCCGGACGAGACTCCTGCTGCTCAAATCAATGACCACTCAGAGACTGCCGGACAGCAGGAGGAGATGGAGGACCCTCATTAACTCACTGCTCTTCAGCAAATAATACAACTGCACACACGTCTGTATCACGTTCACAGTGTGTGTGTGTGTGTGTGTGTGTGTGTGTGTGTGTGTGTGTGTGTGTGGTCCTGAGGTCCTCATGGGTAAACATGCTCATAAATCAGGCAGACTGGAGTGTTGTGGCGATGTGATGGTGCAGAGTGTCTGCTGTGAGGGTTGAGGAGTGAATATCCCGTCTGTACAGTCCAGACAGCACTACAGCTGAGAGAGCACTGCACGACTGCTGTTCTCACTCTGAGTTTTTGTCCCGTTTCTAGTCTAAATATCTAAATATTCTTAAATCAAGAAGCATTTTCTAGAAAAACACTAAAAATGTTGTCTTGTCTTCAGAAATAACACGCTAAGATGAAGTGATTTTTCTGACACTGAGGAAAGGGTAGTGAAGTTTATTTATGAAGTAACTCTGAGAGCTGATCAAGTGATCATGATTGACCACAGCTGGTGCTGCATTAGCTAATGCATGATTCACCAATCAGACTATTCCAAACTCACTATAAACAACCAGAGTTCCTCACCTCAGTCATCTTCATCTTGAAGAATTCCCCTTTCACCCCTACTCCTCCTTTCTTTTCCTAGATAGGGTGGCATGGCTGTCTGGTGGTCAACACTGTTGCCTCACAGCAAGAACGTCACTAGTTAAAGCCCCTACTGAGCCAGTCCATGTTTCTGTGCGGAGTGGACATGTTCGGGGAGGGTCTCCCGCAGGTTCCCCTGTTTCCTCCCACAGTCTAAAGACGTGCGCCATAAGTGAACTGACTAAACCCGAATTGGCGCCTCAGATGAGCTCTTAGCCAGCAGTAGATCTCTCCACAGCAATTGCCTAATTTGTCTTTAGCCATAAACAGCAGGAGAGTTCTCCAGTTACCTGACCTCAAACTCCCCTCTCGCCCTGCTAACAGGAGGGAGCCCCAGGCTCGAGGATCTCATAAGCTCGGGGCTGTCTCCCGGGACAGCATGCCAACACGCTTTATTATCCCTCATCAGCTGAGGGGGAACTCCTGAAATAAAGTTATGTCAAAATGAGAAACTAGATTACTCCTCTTCCCCATCCTCAGGTTATTCTGCTGGTTTTAAATAAACTCTCTTCATTTTTATGTATATTTTTTATCATATTCTGACTAGAAACAAGACACACTCAGTCAGAACAGCACCTTTGCAGTGAGAGGAGACCGTAAATCATGAAAACACAGCAGGAGTGTGTGTCCGCTATCAGCTGTTATATATGCCTTAATTATTCCATTCATTTTTAATTTTCTTATTAACCAAACAGAAGAAGCAAAGGGCTTTGGTGAATACTTTGATTTCTAATTAGAATACAGAGCGGAGAGAAAGGAAGTAAAGAATTATTAAACAAGTGTTCAGAGGAACAGCCCCTGGCGAAAGGCGTACATTATTAATGCTGTGGTCTATTACTATAATTAAACACCTCCGTAACATCACGCCATGCCATACACTGCAAACAACAGGTACATCTGTGTGTGTGTGTGTGTGTGTGTGTGTGTGTGTGTGTGTGTGTGTGTGTGTGTGTGTGCGTGTGTTGCTGTTCTTACTTAGAGTTTTTGCCTTGTTTCTAGTCTGAATGTCTACAAATTCTTGAATCAATAAGTATTTTCTAGATAAGCACATACTGTTGTCTTGTTTTCAGAAATAATGAGGCAACATTTTTCATTAAAACAGGCTAAATAATCTGCCAATGAGTAAATAATGTTTCAAACTGAAAACAAGATTATTCAGCTGTTTTAAGGTCAAACTTTCTTCATCTTGACTCATTATTTCTGAAATCTAGACTGTTTTCTAATATGTAAAACCTCTTCTTGATTTGAGAATTATTAGATGTGTGGACTAGAAGCGAGACTGATACTCTGAGTAATGAAGGCCTGTTTTGCAGTTCGTCTGATCAGTGTGATCTGTGTATCATGCAGAGTCTCTGACCGGTCATAGTGAATCCTCCCACGAATAAGCCGATGTCCCGTCCGCCCACCATGATGGTCTCGCTGCGGTCCGTGCCCTCAGAGATGCCCGCGTGCTTGTTCTTCCAGGCCGCCCAGATGCCCACCATTAAGATCAGCAGGTAGAAGATGACGATGGCCAGCAGACCCTCCACATGAATGGCCATCTGACACACACACACACACACACAGGGTGGTTTTTGTGAATTGTGAGGACGTAACATTGGTCTGTATTGTTCGTATACTCTACAAAATGTACAAACAGCTAACTCAGCCCTCACAGAACCCTCACTATCTGAGTAACACTCGTGCTGTAGGTTAGAGAGAAATCAAGACAACAGCAGTGTCCTCATAACTCACCATGTCCTCACAATGCTCATGTTATTATACATATTTGTGTTCTGATATGGCACACACACACACACACACACACACACACACTGAAGATTGATCATCATAATGCAGTAATAACCCTCTACCAAACTGGTCCAGAATGGAGAATCAAGCTTATGATGTATATTAATATTGAATACACATCAGGTTTATTATTACAGAGTTCTGTCATCCATTTCTGTGCAGTAGAAAACCCTGTTGTTCACCTGTTGTTGGTCTGTTCTGCTTGTCAGAGCGTAATCTTTGTGTCTTTGAGGGTTTAGTTCACTTTAATCATCAGATATTTCCACAGTTCAGGAAACTTCATAGTTAATATCGGAATAAAGCTTCGCAGTTGTATTAGTTTAAACAGCAATACGACTGAGCAACAGGTAACAGTGCACAGCAGTATTGCCCTACTCTATATAATCATCAATAACTCAATCAAGAAATAAGAGAGAGACAGAGATTGTTTACCTTTGAGGAGAGAGCGAGAGCGAGAGAGCGAGGGTCCTGAGGTGGAGGAGAGCAGCTGCTGGATGCAGAATCACTGAGAGACTCAAGACTGAAGCTCCTGCTCATTTATACTGCGCTCTCTCTCTCACACACACACACACACACACACTCTCTCTCTCTCTGTAATACGTGTGTGTGTGCTTGATGTGTATGTGTACTGTGCAGTATAAGTATGTGTGTGACATCATGATTTTGCCAGGTATGATGTGATCTTGGAATAACACCTGTGTTGATCCTGAAACATAACTTTTGCTGGGAAATGTGACCCCCACCTGTTTCCTACCCATAAACCCAACCAAAACTGAATAATTCCCACAGTCAGAGTGCAGTAATAGCTGGAGAACACTCATGTAGAGGAGCACCACCCTCACCGCGAGCCTGAACTCCACATAACAGTGAACAATTCAGTCAACAGGATCATGTACTGGGGGAAATCAGGGTGGTGGTGTGTGCTGTCTCTGTTTGTGTGTTGTGTTTGTGTATTTATTGTGTGTGTGCATGTAGTGTGTCTGTGTGTGTCTATGCAGGTGTGTGAGGGAGTGTCGCCTCGTCACTGATTTCTTATTTTTTGCATGTTCGTCACACTTTAATGTGTCAGATCATCAGACTACAGTAAATATCAGTCACAGAAACACAGCACGCAGCTATTAAATGAAGGATTTTATGATGAGAGGAAAACTGAACCCAGAACTGCACAGCGCTGTGTGCTTCTGCAGGACTGCCACACCGGCTCACAGTCAACAAATCACAGACGCATGACAAAGCCGAGTAGACCAAAAGATCCTCAAAATCTAGACATCATGCAACACAGGCTCATTTTGTAAACGTAGTCCTGTATACGCTTCTGGAGACCACAAATTATGTAGCCAGAGCTATAGGGCTGCATATCATCTTTTAAATGAACACTACCGGGTGGTATGATG